ACTACGACGAAGCATTCGCACAACCGGAATGAGCTGCTCATACTCCAAGATGAACTCATTGTCCTCATTGGACGGAATAGGTAGCTACAAGAACTTAAAAAATTGACGAAGCGGCAATGCATGTGTATTGAAAAGCAAACCTCCTTAAATTCATCGAATCTACGACACTTTGCAAGATAACACTGCCATACAAAATCGCCATAGCGTACGGTATTGGATAAGGCTAAATTAGAGCTTTTGAAAGTACATAACGAGCTCAAAGCTAGTCTCACACTGCAACTTATTTTCCTCTTCCGAAGTTAGCGGGCGTGGAATGCTCATGAGATGCTTGATCTCTGCATCCGCAGACATATATTTACGAGGAGAAGTTCGTTCAAATTCCTCCCGCTCACTCAATGGCTGAAATAAATTCATCTGGGTGTAAAATCGCAAGCAGTGAACAACCGGGAGTATAATCGTCTTTAGGTTATTCTGACATGTTCAACTTCGGAAATAACATTGATAAGGCAGCGGAAAAGATAAGGGAAGGTGGGTAATTGGAACAGAAGTAGAACTAACCTTCCCAGCATCAGCACACCAAAACTTATACACACCCATCATTTCCTCTTTGTTCATACCCAGTAAACCATGCATTTGTTTGGTGACATCATCGAGGAGAACAAACGGCTGAAAACGAAGATTATCTTCTAATTTATTCGAATTTGTTCAGTTTACCGATTCAGGAATCGCTCCAATGACTTTCTTGCAATTCGTATAGTCGAAAAGATAGTAAGCGAGGAGCTGTCCTTTCCACTTCGTAGGAATATTCAGGAGCAAGATCGGGCCCAATAAATTCTAGATAGCAGACTAATTCTAGTTGGCATTTAAAAAAGATGTGCAATGAACATGTAGAACTTGAGCGCACTAACCAACAGCGCCGGTGGATACCACTGCGGACCTTCAGCAGACCAAAATGGCTCACCAGGAGACTTACGTTTCATGCGAACCACCAGTTTGTCAATGTATAGTTGATGCCTAAGAGAGGGTCGCAAAATTGCTACAAGTCTTGCACATAAACTAGACAAACCCTGAAGCCTTTGCTCTTCTCTCCTCAATGACTTTCTCCATTGCAAGGCGTATTTCTCGGTCTTCCGCAACAGGAAGGATTTTAGATCTCATCAATTGCTGGATTA